TGTTAGGTTAAGTTAGACTGTATTAGGTTATGTTATGTTAGGTTAAGTTAGACTGTATTAAGTTATATGTTAGGCAAAATTAGGTAACCATTAGAGTTTAATCATCAGGTAAAATAATCTACAGTTCTCCAGTTCAGTACAACACAATGCCATTATTATGAAACAGGGTAGACAACCGTAGACTGTAGACCTTGAATCACCACACAACACTGCAATGTAATTCCTAAGTAGTCAACTATCTATAATTTTACTATCTTAACATCATCAAATAGTTGCAATACTATCTCCGTAATTACTATTACCCCAAAAAAAGTCAATATTTACATTAGTTTTATTTTTAATGGATCTCTTTTCTACAGTGGGGGAGGTAGTGGTTTGCTGTAGCCAACAAACTCCGGGAAGTTTTTTTTGTTGTGAGGTTTCTATGGAGTCTCAGCACCCAGAGGAGTTTCCTGTAGGTGAATAAAGGTTAATGAGAATTTTAAAAGGGCATTGGTTAGGATAGTTCCAGGGGAAGTCATTGGACACAATGCCATTATTATGAAACAGGGTAGACGTAACCGTAGACTGTAGACCCTTGAATCACCTACACAACACTGCAAGGTAATTCCTAAGTAGTCAACTATCTATAATTTTACTATCTTAACATCATCAAAAAGTTGTGCAATACTATCCTCCGTAATTACTATGACTAACCCCCCCCCCCCAAAAAAAAAAGTCAATATTTACATTAGTTTTATTTTTAATGGATCTCTTTACTACAGTGGGGGAAAGGGGAGGGGAGGGGGGTGGTTATGCGCTGTAGCCAAATAAACTCCGGAAGTTTTTATTGTAGGGGAGGTTTCTATGGAGTCTCAGCACCCAGAGGAGTTTCCCTGTAGGTGAATAAAAGTTAAATGAGAAATTCTTAAAGGGAGCATTAGGTTAGGATAGTTCCAGGGTGAAGTCATTAGTGCTCCTCTATCCACCCCCTTACATCACCCTCATGCCCCCACTTACCACCCCCTCATGCCCGTCCTACCACCCCCCTCATGCCCGGCCTACCACCCCCCTCATGCCCGGCCTACCACCACCCCATGCCCGCCCTACCACCCCCTCATGCCTGTCCTACTACCCCCCTCATGCCCGTCCTACCACCCCCTCATGCCAGGCCTACCACCACCCCATGCAGTTAGAATTTTGCCAAGGTATATAGCTAAATAGACCTTCTTCGTCCTGCAGTGTGACGTAGTTCTTCTCCTTACTAGTAACTAACACACACACACACACACACACACACACACACACACACACTTCCAGATGCACATAACTGGCCAGAAACTCATAAACTCGTATTATTTATGACTCACAAGAAAAAGTTGTTATCCTGTTTGGCTCACACAATATTTTATGGCTCAGCGACGCAAACAAGTGCCCATGAACATGTGTAACCTTGAGACATACCAGAGTCATTTACGGTGATACATAAAGGACGTTGTTGTGAGACATATCAAGTATGTTTTCTATATTAAATTTCGATGAGACATGAAGGAAAATTTTCTTCATTCAGTCAAACACATTTTCTGTGATACATTAAGAGCATTTCTGTGATAATCAACAAATGTGTCAATATTCAAAGATGTCTAAAAATAATGTATCTCTTTTATAATACATCAAATGTTTCTTACGGGGGATTAATGTGAATATCTTACTGAGTCTAATATTTAAAGTTAATAAATAATGGAAGAAACAAATTAGTTTTCTTAAGTATGGTTAAATTTGGTCCTGAAGACCATTTAATATTTCGTTTAAGATAACATAAATAATAGTGACAGTTAGGTTAGGTTAGGTTAGGTTAGGTTAGGTTTTGGACAAGCCAGACCAGACGGACCTGTTGTCGAAGGCGAGAGAGTTAAAAGTGTGACAGGTCGCCCTAGTTAAAGTCCCTCCGATGGCCGCCTTGCATAATGACCCCTACGCCCCGGGCCCCTGACAAAGCGTTCCGTTAATAACATCAAGTACAATATTGTCGGGTGATAAGGGGCGGTCATTCTGAGATAAGACGCCGAGTATTAAGGTCATAATGGAGGCCGGGCATGATGGAGGGCGACCCCATTATCCAGGAGATGAGGTCATTCGTATCCGAGGCCAGACCCGCCACGGATCTCCCCGCCGCCGCGGTGATGTCCACCCTCGAGGTTCGTCTGTCGAGGCTCTACTAGAGAGTTCTGTCTGTCGGGGCTCTACCATAGAGTACCGTCTCACGGGTCTCTAACCAGAGAGTACCGTCTGTCGGGGCTCTACAAGAGAGTACCGTCTGTCGGGGCCCTACCAGAGAGGGCCGCCTGCCGGGCCCTCCCAGAGAGAGCCATCTGTCGGGGCCCTTCCAGAGAGGGCCATCTGTCAGGGTCCTACCAGAGAGGGCCATGTCGGAACATTTGCAGGAGGGACTTCACTGTGAAGCCTTCGGAGAGGGCCATCTGTTCAGTTCTGTCGGAAAAAATGGTCAGTCGAAACCCGGGTAGAGAACATCATTTGTTGAACTCCGTAAAAATGGCAGTTGTGAAATTTTCTCCAGGACACCGCGCCTTAGGTTAGGTTAGGTTAAGAAACTTTACCTGCATCAGCAATTAATATCACCTGATAATATTCCCTCTCACTCCGAAATGACGCATTTAGGGAAAACTATACCACTCTAATATTGCTCCAGCTTCTGGCTACAATCATGCTCTTTTATGGCACGGAGAGGGAGAGAGAGAGAGAGAGGGAGAGAGAGAGAGAGAGAGAGAGAGAGAGAGAGAGAGAGAGAGAGAGAGTCATATTCCTTGACCAAAGAGGAGGTCACCACTGCTTGTGTCTCGGGGTCTTGTATGAGTGGACCATGTCAGGGGACGGTGAGGGAGACAACCTTATTATGTGTGTGCGTCTTGCTGTAACAGGATTATGTCTCAGTGAAGGGAAGGCAGCAATCTTGTTAGGAGTTGTTTATGTGACATTTAATTCTTGCAACATTTGGTGACGCTATTTTGTGACCGTGTTGTGTATCATGGTTAACGTCTCTGTGGGTGGTGTTAGTGTGGTTAATTATTGTATGGGTGTATTTTGAAGGACTCTGTCGTCACACTTGGAACTCCTGACAGTGTAAATATTTCTCTCGGTCGCCGCAAAAGAATGTTCATATTTTAATGGGTTATATATAAATAAGTGAGAATTCTTTTTCGACGATCTTTAATTTGTAAAAGACAAATGTGCAAGACATCTTTAATAATTTACACCGTCACATAGATGCATGCGTTTCATCAATATACACTAAATCCACCACCTCACCTCACCTAACCTAACCTAACCTAACCTAACCTAACCTAACTCGAGGTACTTCTATAGATTAAGTATCTTACTGTTAAAATATTACTTACCAATAAAAAATGTCATACCAGTCATTCAGTCATTGTGTTTTATCAACCTCATTCAGAATGGGTACTAGTAAAATACCTGTCTTCATAATTTCATCTTTTCTTTATTTTTTCGCAAAATACTTTGTCTAGACAGGTAACGAAAAGGACATTATCGTTCGCGATGATTTCCAGGATCGTTACTGGTACTGTTACTTCAGAAAGGTCGACCTGCAGGCCTCTCCGACCATGGTCGAAAAAGTCCTGGACAAGTGCGGCTATAAACTTAAATCAGTTGAGTGAGGCAGTGGAGGCGCCCCACAGGTGGTCTACCCGGGTCTGGTGTGGAGAAAGGTACAGCCCCGCACTGGCCGCCTGAAGGATCGACAAACCCCTGTTGTTGATCATGGGGAGGAAGAACCTCCGAAAAAGAACAGATGAGGTGACCACCTCCTCCCTTAGTGATCTCAGAGAGGGGAGGAGGATGGTGCCACAGGATTATCAGCCTGTGTAATCCCAAGCCAGAAAAACCCAAACCAACAGGCTTAAACCTCACGAAAGAAGAAAATTATATATTTATAAACTATTCTTATGAGGATCTGAGGCCACAGACCAAAAAAGATATAACAGCAATGTTTGGTGGATGTGGTGACCTCAACTCGGCGGATTTTTTATTTTTTTTTATTTTGGTACAACATTATTTTCTATATCATAAAGTATAGTGTTTGTCTTCACCTGCATGTACTTAAGGTTCATGTTGCACACTTTTATAACCAGGGTGTACGGCGGCTCTCCTAATAATGTACGAGTATCATCAAGAAATAAAACTGTTTGTGTGCTCACTTGTTTATCTCAGGACTATGAACGGTGACAGTTTTTTCTTTCCATTCCCCCCCTCCCTCTCCTAAACATCTCTTTGTTCCTCTTGCTCTTCCTCCATCCTGTTACTCTTCCTTCCTCTTCTTACTCTCCCTCCCCCCTTTCCTCCTTTCATCCTCCTTCTTTCATCCTTCACCCCTCCTTTCATCCTTCACCCCCCTCCTTTCAGCATTTCACCCCCTTTCTTCGTCTTTCTTTTCTCCATCTTCGCTTCCTACGTCTCTCCCTCCCTCCCTTCCCCCAATATCTTTCCTTCTTCCTTTACCCCACCTTCCTTCCCCCTTCCTCCTCCTTTCCCTATAATTTCCCTCCTTCCTCCTTTGTCCTCTCTCCCTCTCCCTTCCCACCAATGCTTATCCTCCAAACATCAGGTCCAGGACAGATGTGTTTAAGTGAACGCCAGAGTTTTATTTTATGTGAACGTTGGGGTGAGTTTTATTGTTTTATACCATACGTTCTTTTCTACGTGCAGACAGTGAGTTCTTTCCCCTATACCGAGAACACGGCCATTTTATCCTACAGGCAATGTGTTCTACCTGTCGTGTATTAACAGTGCCAACGTTTAAGTACAGAAAGTGGCACTACCAGAGTACAGAAAGTGGCACTATCAGAGTACAGAAAGTGGCACTATCAGAGTACAGAAAGTGGCACTACCAGAGTATAGAAAGTGGCACTACCAGAGTACAGAAAGTGGCACTATTAGAGTACAGAAAGTGGCACTACCAGAGTATAGAAAGTGGCACTACCAGAGTATAGAAAGTGGCACTACCAGAGTACAGAAAGTGGCACTATTAGAGTACAGAAAGTGGCACTATTAGAGTACAGAAAGTGGCACTATTAGAGTACAGAAAGTGGCAAAACTATTAGAGTACAGAAAGTGGCACTACCAGAGTACAGAAAGTTGCATTAATGGAGTATAGAAGATGACATGGGTGAAAAATTCTGTTTTATTTTTTGAGTAAAGACTTTGGTGAATCTGTGGTATTTGATTTAGATGATTTACATAAACAAAAAGTAAACAGACAGGTACATAGACAGGTAAACAGATACACACACGCAGATAAATAGACTCGCCAACAGATATATACACAGATAAATAAATAGACAGATTGACACACCGATAGACAGAGAGGTAAACAGATAGACAAGTATATAGATAGACAGGCATAGACAGATAGTCAAGGAAATAAAGAGATTGACAGATTCGTAGTTATATAGTTAACATGGCCATTGTACTTGTTTCTAAAGTCAACATGGCCACTCCTACTTAACATGGCCACTGTACACGCAATTTTTGTCATATTTCCCCTAGTGAATATTTCATGTATGACTGGAATGCCCAAGTTCACCTTCCTACACTGCTTTCGACTGCATGATTTCCTCCCGGGTTAAATTATGCAACAGTCTGCAACTTACGGGTCAGCTTGGCCGTGTTGCAAAGTTGCGGTTTACGACCTTTTACAATTTAAAGCAGGTTGTTACTTTCAGGTATTTTACAATTAAGGTGACGTGGACAATGTTATTTCCTTTAGTTAAGAGGCAGGCAGGCAGGCAGGCAGGCACACACACACACACACACACACACACACACACACACACACACACACAGAAGTAGAGTAAAATTCACCATTGTGTCCTCCTGGCCACTTGGTGAACATGGCCTGCCTGGCCCTCTCTCCCTTCCTCCCATGGTCTTACTTCTCCCTTTTCCTTTCTCCCTTCCTTGCTCTGTCTTCTTCTCCCCTCATTCCCTAACACTCCCTCTCTCTCATTCCCTGTTTCTCACTCCCACTCCATTTCACCCCCTCTCATTCCCTCTCCAAGTCCCCTATTCTCTAACTCTCACTACCACTCCATCATTGACTCCCTCTCACTCCCTCCCTCTCTCTCTCTCACTTGAAGACCACAAAAGAAATTGATGACTGGCAAACTCTTCCTCCACCTTTCTCTCTTCTTACTTACTTCTTCGTCCACATTTATTTATCTATCTATTTATTTTTTCGTGGTGGGGGAAACACGGTCTAGGGAAACGGTGTGTCTGGGAGGTGCACAGACTCACACAGCGCCATACAAGACAACACAGAACCATACATCACCATACAGCACTACACAGCACCATACATCACCATACATCACCACACAGCATAACACAGCACTACACAGTACCATACAGCACTACACAGCACACATGCATAACCTTTCCTAATCAACAGGATAATATTACCATAACTACAATATGTACAAGTTTTCCTCCTCAACAAAATCCTTTTCCTCATCGCTTCCAAAAAATTCCTGGTAGCTATTAAATCCGTCAAATTTTCCTAAATGGTACAAAAAAAATTCCTGATAGCTATTAAATCCGTAAAATTTTCCTAAATGGTACAAAAGAAATTCCTGATAGCTATTAAATCCGTCAAATTTTCCTAAATGGTACAAAAAAAATTCCTGGTAGCTATTAAATCCGTCAAATTTTCCTAAATGGTATAAAAAAAATTTCCTGGTCGGTATAAAAACCTTGTTATTTTCCTGGCTGCACGACACGCCACCTACACATTGTCCTTCTGATCTATGCATCACTTTAACGCAGATATGAAAATATTGGCTGATGCACAACCCCGCTCTAGGGCGAAAAATTTCCCGACGTGTGGCAGCATTTATCCTGATTCAAGCATGATTTAAGCGTGTTATAGGCGTGATATAAACGTGATATAGGTGTGATATAAGCGTGATTAAGAGGGGTATGACGAGCGCTAGGACGGGAGGCGTATACGGGCGTAAGTTATAGGAGACGTTTAGAAGAAGTTTACGCATATTTCCGGGTCGTATATTTGAGAGAATTGTTTTTATTAAGTGCGATTTATGGAGGAAGGTGGGGGAGGGGTCGTAGGTAAGTGTGAGGGGTCGTAGGTGTGTGTGGAGGGTCGTAGGTGCGTGTGAGGTGTGTGTGTGTGGGGGGGTCGTAGGTGTGTGTGTGGGGGGTCGTAGGTGTGTGTGGCGGGTCGTAGGTGTGTGTGTGTGGGGGGGGTCGTAGGTGTGTGTGTGTGTGGGGGGGGTCGTAGGTGTGTGTGTGTGTGTGTGAGGGACTTCTTCTCACCGTCAACAGGTAACAACGAGCCATAATTAAAAACACCACAATCAGCTGTAGGTGAAGGCAAGATTAACAAGGGAGCATCAAGTGGTGTGTCTATTGTCCCGACAGGATCGAAACCTTTATTAAAGTGGGTTTCAACACTCTACTCGGGGCATACAGGATCTAGACCTCTTTTCCTCATCATTTATACGAGTAATATTTCAAGGAGGAACTTAATATATACTTGGGATTGATATCTTGATTAAGTGGTTTAAAAATAGTGGGTTGCAATAGAGGTTCGAGACCATTTTGTTTAGGTGTTTTAGTCCTGTTTACGTGAGTTCATAAAGGAACGAAAGATCTTCTCGTTTTCTATAGTATTTCAAACAAAAGACGTCCATAAACATAAATTCGAAACTCTTCATTACGACGAGTCAAAACAGAGTGGTACAATGGTTTAAAGGATTGAAACTCTTATCAAGGAGGTTCAACACCGCGTCTTCGTGACATAAAGAGAATCTAAACTACCTCCTCCTCCTCGCCTGTGATAACTCATGCAACAGTTGTTCTCCTTCACCCCCCCCCCGCCCCCCCTCGCATGTTGCGGCACTATCATAGCGCCACTCATAAAAAAATCTCATTAAAAAAGAAATCTCATCAACACAGGACTTTGCTCCGGGGAGAGACAATACTACCAAGGCGCTTCAAGCCAAACTAAACCTTGTGTCAGGATGTTATTAAGGCTTTTTCGCCCCTGCCTGGCCTCCATTCAAAGCGATGTTGTCTCAAATAGCACTGAACCTTATATTAATCTGTCATTAAGATTGTTTTCCCTTACAGTTGGTTAAAAATATAGACTGTATGGGCATTCAAAACAATAAAGACCCTTGTTATAGGTCTTCATAAAAGTTGCTTCTTTTTTCCAATACTAAACGTGGGCAGCAAAAGGGGCGCTCACTCTGGGAGGGGTAAATGTCAAGCAATATCGATACTTGTGTAGTGGGCGAATAAGGGTTATTTTTACCTGTGGTACACTGGTGATGGAAGCTTTACACGACAAAGTGAGCATTATGGTGACCAGCGTAAAGAAGGTTTTCCTAATTCTAAGGCTTCCATTCAGTCAGTACATATAGGAGCATCCCAAACAAAACACATCCTTATATTCGCTATCAATAACGACTGCTTTTCCTAATTCTAGTCATCTGCTCAGTTTAGGAACATGGTACACAAGACATAACCTTATATTCACTATCAATAAGGACCATCTTCCATAAACACACCTCCTTATGAAACAAAAGCACCAGCAACTATCACCTCCAAAATAACTATCAATAAAGACCATTTTTTTCCTATACCATAATATTTCAAGCTCCTTAAAAGCTTTATAATATCAATAGAGGTTATTTTCCAAGTAATAAGACTAGTATGGGGGAATTTCAAACAACTCAGCTTTATAGGTGATGTTAATAAGGTTTAATTTTCAAGTACCTATATTTATACTTGCTAATGAAAATTTATAAACAAAATTCAGCTTTATATTAAGAGTTAATAAGGTTGTTCATCCTATACTAGACCAACGTAAAGATCACTTTACACTGTGTGGTTCAATTTGGTCTCTACTTTCTGGTCTCTTGCCCTGGTCTCTCGTTTGTGGTCTTAGGTTCTAGGCTGAAGATCAAAGTTTCCTCACTCTCTCTCTTTTTCCTTCCGTACCCCTTCTTCTCTCCTTCTCTACACCTTATTCCTCCCTTTCTCCCTACCCCTTCTCCTCTACCCTACCCCCCCCCCTTCTCTCTCTCTCTCTCAGGTGTGGCGAGAGACCGAGGTGTCAGTCAGGTGTCAGGATAAAAAACATTCTATTAGCTGATGAGGCCGAAATACTCATTACCTGTGAGAGATGACTGGCCCTTGACCGTGATGGACAGGAAGGAGGGAGGGGGGGATGGGGGGAGGGGGAGGGAGGGGAGGGGAGGGAGGGGAGGAGGGGAGGAGGGAGGGGGGAGGGGAGGGGAGGGAGGGAGGGAGGGAGGGAGGGAGGGGATGGAGGGGAGGGGGAGGGAGGGAGGGGAGGGGGGAGGAGGGGGAGGGAGGGAGGAGGGAGGGAGGGGGATGAGGGGAGGGGGGGGAGGGAGGGGGGAGGGGAGGGCGGAGGGGGGAGGGAAGAGGGAGGAGGGAGGGAGGGAGGGAATGAGAGAGGGTAGGGGAGGGAGGGAGGGAGGGAGGGAGGGAGGGAGGGAAGGGGAAGAGGGGAGGGAAAGTATGAGGAATAACTGGCCTGTAACTGTGATGTAAGGGAGGAAGAGGAGGAACAAGGAAGGGAGGAGGAAACAAAGGAGATAGAATAGAGGAAAGGAATGAAGGAAGGAGGGAAGGAATGAGAGAAGGATAAGGAATGAGAAGGAGAATACACAATGTTCCATCCCTTAAAACCAACAGAAAATTTAAAGTTACCCTTAAAAAAATGACTAAAAATTACGTAAAAAAAAAAGTTCCACCCATTAAAAATAGTTAGAACTTGTCTTTCTGAAGCTCCTTAAAAAACTCAAGTTTTAATTACGAGTCAAGTCGACGGTGAACCCACGAGTGACAGCCTGGGGAGGGTGAGAGAAAGTGAGAGAAGGTAGGAGAGAGAGAGAGAGAGAAATTGAATTGAGGCTAAAAAGAGAAAGTAAGAAGAAAG